GAGAGGGCAGGTGTGTCTCCAGAGGTCAGTGTGCGTGGGGAGCTGACTATTAAGCCTGCTCCCCCTGCATACCTGTACCCTCTGTGTAACCGTGATGGTCAACAGATGAGCCCAGCTTTGTCAGTTAACTGTACACAGTTACACATTCACATCCCTACCACTAATCTATAACTTAATAAGCAGCCATGATAAATTGACCATTCGTGAATTGATTGTTACAGTGTCGATCCACCATGTCGTGAAGGCAAGTTCTTCATTTCAAATTCGATTTAAATATTTCATTAGTTTGTTGCTGAAGATTGTGAAATCATATCTCTAAAAAATCATTGTGCATCTAAAAATCTATGCAATCTATTTGGCTTTAGCCTTAATTGCTTATCTCTTCAGAATTTAAACACATAGTAATCTGGAATTATTACTTCATGAAGCTTTGAAAGAATATTTAAAATGTTAAATCTGCTTACAAATACTGATTGAGAAAATATAAAACAGAGATGAGCCACATCATGTATTCCCCCAATATTTAATGTTGTATTCTGCAGAACAGCTGACTTGTCTTTATGCACCAAGTTTTTGCAAATAAATCTCTGACTAACTTCAAGGTATGTCAAAAATATGTAGTGCTTTGAATTAGGCATTTTCTGCATGTTAAGTATTCATAATCTAGCACAAAGCAGAAAATATGCTTGATTTTGTTTGGAAAGAAATTTTAGAAGAATTTTTCTTCATATTTCATTTGCTACATTTGGGTTCAGATATTTGGCTGGAATGGGTGAGCAGAAGATAAGAGGAGCGACTGTAGGAAGGGGGCAAGGCCCAGGCAGATCAGGAGTGGGAGAGTGGCAAGGCCACAGATTAGGGAGCTTGCTTCCCCAAGCAGCAGTTTCACCCACTGTTCATACTAAGGATGCTTACTTTTTTTTAAACTTACTTCAGGGCTGTCAAGTGTCTAAAAATTCTAATTACGATTAATCATGTGCAACTCCCCTTTGAAACACTATGGTGGCGTTTCATCGGGGCAGTGTTGCATGGAGCCCAGGATCAGCTGGAATCCCCAGCTGATCCTGGGCTCCATGCAGTCCTGCCCCTTGGAAGCACCACAGTGGCATTTCCAAAGGGCAGCGCAGACAGAGCCTGGAGTCAGCTGAGAACTCCAGCTGATCCCCTTCTCCGCTGTTGCAAAGCCCCTTTGAAATGTTGGAGTGGCACTTCAAAGGGTTTTGCAATGCAGAGCCGGAGATCAGCTCAGCACTCCAGCTGATCCCTGGCTCCGCTTGCGCTGCCCCTTTAAAGCGCCTGAGCTGGTACTTCAAAGAGGCAGCGCAGCATTAACACCTGCGATTATTGCATTAATTTTTTTAATGCGTTAATCCTGTCCTGCGTTAATTGCAGGCATTAATACAGGTCAATTGACAGCCCTAATTTACTTCCCAAACCAAGTACTAATACTCCGAGAACCTAATACTCAGTTCTAAACAAGCATAAGGAAGGTCAGTGGCATAAACAACACTATTAGCTGTATATCTGTCCAAAGAGAGCCTATTTGGATTAGAACAACGTTTCTTCAAAGTGAAATAGCTACAAAAGACTTGGTAGAAGTAGGAAGGTACTGGGAAGTTGGATAAGGGAAAATTAGCCATAATAGGAAAATCTTCCTTGCTTAAGAGGTCCTGTATTATAAATATTGTTATAACAATATTTAAACTAATTACAAGTTTTAAAATATTATATTTGGACAATATTTCACTTAGCATGATCTGAATTTTCTGTTTTATCAAATTAAGCTGAAGCATATTTGCTTTATGTGAATTACCTGTTCTTTATTGTATAGCTTTAATACTGCTTCTTACCACATCACTCTTCCTTTACTTAGGTTATAAAACAGCTAAATGGAGTCTGAGCAGCTTTTCCATAGAGGCTACTATCGAAATAGTTACAACAGTATAACTAGTGCAAGCAGTGATGAGGAGCTTTTAGATGGAGCAGGTGTCATTATGGACTTTCAGACTTCTGAAGATGACAATTTGTTAGATGGTGATGCATCGATTGGTAAGTTAGTAGTTCTTATTTATGGCTTTTTTCTGTTTGTTTATGAGCTTAGGAGGGAGTAGCTTTTGCAGTGATTAAAATTTTCCAGATCTTGTCAGTAACTGTTCATGGAGATGGCTCTGAAAATGTTACTGAAAAACGTTTGTATCTACAAAGGTTTCTCTTGCTAAGCAGTTATTAGACTTCGAGGAGCCTGACATGCCAACCTTTCTGATAGTCATATGTCTTCTGTCATTACTTTCAAAACAGAAAAAAATCTGCATGTCAAGTTTTTCTTCCCTTTAGTAAAAAGTCATAAAAAGCTGTCTCCTGTTTTGCTTGTATGGTTCATTGAGTGAAAAGGCTACAGATTAACTCTTGTATTTGCACATCAGCTCATAAGAATAGTTGTTAATGTATTATCCTTTGAGTATAATAAAACTAGACTGGGTGTAACTATTTTTTTTCTACTGTCTCCTACAATCTGCTTCTTAGCACTGTTCCTTTCCATACAAGAATAGAATGATGATTCTTCTGTAGCTGTTTAACCATACTGTCAAGAATCCAAGGAAAAGTTCATTGAGTCTGTAAATGAGTGAGTTAGAGCAACAAGATGGGTGAGAATCTTTTATTGGACCAACTTCTGTTGATGAAAGAGACTAAACATTTGAATTACACTGAGCTCTTCAATTTAGAGCAAATATGCACTCTTTGATGATAAATAGCAAACACTGACATGGGGAAGAGATCCAACAACATGTAAAGGAAAATAACCAAACCAAAACCCCCCCACATGATTATAGTCACTTCCACTGTTTACTGGCCCCTTTAACAAGCAGCTGTGAAACTTACCATTATCTTCTAAATTTTATTCTTCTTCTCTCCTTGTGAGCAGAAATGAGGAATCTCTTTGTATCTACTCGAGTATCTCCAGTAAATTTAGCAGCTCTCTGTTTGCCTTTAATCTATAAAATGGGGACAATAATATCTTTGTTGCTAGTAACAGCTTGAGTGAACTGTACGTGTAAACTTGGCAACTTGTGTTGCCACTTTGGAGCAGATGGAGATTTTCATCTTACACTAGCTGCTACTCGAGAAGGCTGTGATCCCATTCATCTCTCTAGATGAGGTCTTCAAAAATGTTAATGGATTTAGTCTCATCACTAATGTGAGGCATTAGTCTCATCACTAATGTGAGGTAGGGGAAGTACAGTAAAACCTGCGCTATCTAGAATTTAAGCATCTGCAAAACAGTAGAAACCGGCAAATTTCTGACACTGGGAAAAGCAAAAAAACAAAAACAAAAAACCTGGCCCTTTAAGTGCCAGGATGCTCCTCGACGAGCATGCGGCACGTACGTAGGGGAGGGGCCAACAGCAGCTGGAAGCAAGCAGCAAGCACCTTGGCTCCCCCTGCGGCTCCTGGCACCCCAGCAGGCCAGGCCAGCCCCCACCTGTGGCTCCCTCCTCCCTTTCCCCCAGCAGGCTGCCCCCACCATCTCTGCCTCCCACCCCCTGGCTTTCATCCCCCCCACCAGACCACATCCCCTCTCCCGCAGCTCGTGGCCCACCCCCCCCTCCCAGCAGGCCACATCCTAACCCCCGCATGGCTCCTGTGCCCCTCTCCCACCGTAGGCCCTACATAGCTTCCCCTCACTCCCCACCCCTCAGATAACCAGAATTTTTGGGTTACCGGCATGCCCTAATCCCTGGGCATGCCGGATAACACAGGTTTTACTGTAGTGTTGCCTTTACGTAACGCATATGTATTCCCTAGCCCTTACTACTTCCCCTTTCCCTGACTTTGTCCATATCATGTTATATTGTATCTGGCTCTCCCCTATAGTCTAGTATGGTAGCTGCCTTCTTCACACTGCCTAGGCACCAGGAAGCAGAGCATTGAGAGCACAGGACAGACAATTTTTTGTTTATCCATGTCAGTGCATGGCACTTTAGTAGAGGCCTTTGGCAGCTAGAGGAGCGCTTACGGGCCAAGTTCTACTCAACCTCTGCATCCTCAGGGTGTACAGAAAAACTTTTCAGTTTTTGTTGGAGTATTATAAAAATTTGTTAGCTGATCGCTAATTGTGATTTTTCAGTTTCATAACTTGGCCAAATGGGGGCAGAATTTCATGCAACAGAAAGACCACCCCTAGTCCAGGAGTGGGAAGCCTTTTTTGGGTTGGGGATCACTGACCCACAGAAAAATTAGTTGGGGGCCGCACACAAGTGAGAAGCAAACAAAAAATAGATTGAGGAAAGGAAAACAGTCCCCACATTCCTCTTGCACACTAGAGCTTGGCGGGTCCAAGCTAGTAGATTGTATGCTCTAGCCCAGTGGGGAAATGGCAGGGGAGCTGGAGTGCCACTGTGGGCTCCCCCATTCTGGGGGGAGGACCAAGCGTCAGATCCTGACCAACCAAGGTTCCTCATTTCTGCCCTAGTCAAATTTTGAGTGTTTGCTCCAGTCTGCAGAGCAGTGTTCCCTCTAACCTGTGTGGCAGAACAGCTTCACATGTCATTCATCAGCCCCACTCAGTCAGTCAGCTCTGTGCAGGGAGTCTTGAGCCACTGACTGGGTGAGGCTGAGTCACTTGTGAAGCTGTGCTGCCTTGCAGCTTAGAGGGAATGCTGCTATGGAGAGGCAATAGTTTAACTGAAATGGTTTTAAGAATTTAATGTTTTCTGAAGAATGAGATTAGAGAATGGTTGAACTGGTTTACCAGAAGCTCTTAAGAAATTTAGCCTGATGCAGGTAATTATATGGGCAGAAATATCCAATGATGGCTAGTTTTGGAAGACAACTGAAAATACAGGGCTTATAATGGAAAGTTTTAGAGCATCTTGAAATATCTTTATAGAGCTGCTATCTTGTTAAAATATGTATCTACAGATTGAAATGGGTTTACTCACGTTTTACAATTACTGCATCTTAGTGTGGAATACTTGTGTTGGAGACTTCACTTCATAATCCTCACACATTCACCTTGAAAATAGTTTAAATGGGATCCTAATCACACATTTAAATTCAACTTGTTGGTCCTATTGATTCATCACAGAAAAGGATTTTATTTTTTCCATGACCAGATGTGGTTTGGTCTGATTAGGAGGGTTTTCATTCAAGTTACTTGGAACAGCCAAGATCAGTCATTTGAAATAAGAGAATTTGACTACAAATTGAGCTAAAGAGAAGATCAGCCACTAATTTAACAAAATGCTTCACAAGACTCATTCAGAAAGGATCTGCGTCTTCATGCACTTGAATGCATCTGATATTATTCCTGGAGATGAGCTTATTTTATTAATGGCATATCTAGACCTTACCTGCCAAAACTGGGACATCAATATAATAGAATAATTTCTATCATGATCATGTTTGATTAGAATGAGTAGTTTCTCAGTATCTTTACATGTTATAACTAAAAATATTTTGTATCAACTACCAAAAAGTTAATGTATAGATAGGTTATGGATTATTCAAAATAAATTGCTTTTGTTGGCAGTTCTGGAGGTTTTTTTGGCTAAAGTTGTAAAAACTCACTTATTAAACTTAAATACATAGAGTATTTTGTGAAAATAAATATTTTACTATTCTTTATCTCCTTGGTGTATAAATTTAAATTTTCATGCTAATCTTGTTTCTGACAGAGCTGAAAATCAAGCAGGTGTCTTGCTGCTGGATTTCATGGCCTCATTATTTTTTTTTTTTAATTTATTTCATTTTGTCTTTTGGCTACAGCAGCCTTACTAGAATGGTTTCTGGTACACTTGACCCTCTTTAGTCCAGCAAATCACAGGGTTGTCTGATTAAAGGTTTTGCCGGGCCAGGAAGGGAGTGAGGGAGATGGGGTGAGGGCTCTTACCTGGCACTCTGTATCCCCTTCCTCTACAGTAGTGTGTCCCAAATGGGGTTCCGCAAAGTGAAAATAAGGGTTCAGTGAGAAACTTCCATGACACTAACATTTTATGATTTCAAAAAAATATTTAAGAATTTATGAATTTTATTGAAAACAATTTTCATTTGTGTTTGCCACAATAAGTGTCCCTATGTAATGCCAGCATAGCCAGAGTGGGGACGATGATGTCACTGCACTGCGCATGCAGTCAGTCATATAACAGGTGATCACACCACTATCATATATAAGGCTGTTAGAAGGGGTTCCGCAAAATTCTTTTGAGTTTAAAAGGGTTCAGTGGCCAAATAATATTGGGAAACACTGCACTACAGGAACAATGGGAAAGCCTCCCAGAGAGCATGTGACTGCACTGTTCTCCCAGTTGTGCGGGAGGGACAGCAGCACAGTGGAGAGCCATTTCCACTTCTGGCTACCAGTGTCTATACCATGGGTGTTCCGGAATTAGCTGTGGCTAAGTTTCCAACTCACCTGGATCGAACAACTGAGATTCTATTTTATGAGCTAAAAGTTGTGATTCTTAGCAAAAGCTGTAAGTCATCAATCACTAGATGATCTAGGTGCTACTAGAGGAGAATAGAGCATCACACGGAGCAGGTATGGAGTACATCAAAATTAATATTCTAAAAAGACTGAAAAGATAAGGGTGAGGTAATATAGCGCTGCATACAAAAGTGATTGTAGATTTAGGCTTGCATTTAAAAATGAAAGCACAAGGTCAAGCAGTCAGTTTCCTAGTACAGTCATACTGCCTTTTCTTCTGCCTTGTAAACAGACTGTGTTTCTGAATTGACTGCATTCGTGCATATGAACTCTGCAACCCTAGACATTCTCAATTGAAGTGTAACCAGAGCTTCGAAATTCTCAGTTCTACCTTATAGTTGGAGGTGATAGTAACAGTGTACCAGGTTAACAGATGAGTCCAGACTCATCAATTAACCTTCATGGTTACATGCAGGTTCCTGGTACATGTGGGGAGCTGCCCTTCCACCCCCTGCTGCCTCTGTATCAGAGGCAGCAGCAGACGGGGTGGGAGGCAAGAGCTGATGTGTGGGGAGCGGACTGTCCTCTGCATGTAAACATGTTACAGGTTTACTTACCCCCATTT